GCTTGTTAAACAACAGTAAATTATTATTATATCACAATAATTAATATTAAGTATTTTAAATGAAAATAAACTGCGGGACTTACTCCTGTACCAGGTAATCATTATTGACAGTTCCAGTTTACCTTTAAAGAAACAGAGACAAAATGCTTCAGAGAGATATCGTTCAAATTCCTTTTCTCAAGATGTTTGTTAGATCTATGAGATTTTCATTAGAAGGATCCACACACTTCAACACGTACTTATACTGATAAGAAAACGTACTTAAATGCCCCTATATAAAATTTCATTCTTATTTGTACACCCATTCTATTGTTTTATTTGATTGCTCTTTTTCATTTACATCGTTTCTTTTGTCAGGTGGGTTGCTAAAGCTTTAGTTCTTAAAGTTCTGTTTCTTTTACACACATTCTTATAGTTGTACTTTATTGGACTTTTCCATACCTATGTAGAATTGTCCATGACTGTCGCTTTTTAATCTATAGGATTATATTATTATGATTTGATCATATTCCACATGTATGTGTATATGAACTTTCAGTTGAAATTTCTTTGTGTGCTTATCCGAATATTTTAGACATCAATACAAATGTCAATGCCATGATGAAACTCGTGTTCTAGGAGCTCCTGTTTTCTTTCTATCTAAAGTTGTTTAATCAAATATTTTTTTCTCTTTCCATTACAGTTTAAGTTTTTCACCTTTGTTTTCATGGTAGAAACTGTCTCTTGCCTACTTCCAGATCTTTCTTCCTTGTCAGCTTTGAAATTTAAATTCACTGAATGTTCGAAAGTTTAGTTACCTGTTTGAAATCTATGTTTTCAGAATTAAAAGAGCACCTACCTCTGAGTGGACATGTTCTATACCATTTCCCCAAGTCTAAGTAAGAGTGATGCTTTATTTAGATTGGGAAATGGTTATCTAAGTATGTGTAAACATGTGTATACTTTCTCCTCGATGGAAGGAAAAAGCTTAGTTACCTGTTTGAAATCTATGTTTTAAGAATTAAAAGAGCACCTACCTCTGAGTGGACATGTTCTATACTATCTCCCCAAGTCTATATATGAGTGATGCTTCATTTAGATGTGGAAATGGTTATCTAAGTATGTGTAAAGATGTGTATACTTTCTCCTCGATGGAAGGAAAAATCTTTCAGATCTTATGAATCCACAAGAACACGAGTTCATGATATATGTCAAAATGTAGAGGAAGTTATGCAAGAAATAAGGGCTTAAATGACAGTGCATCAAAGTGTTAACTCATACACCAAGAAGTGTAATTACTACTTGTGTATAAATCTCCTTATTATTAGAGAAATTAAAGTTTTTTTTAGCCCGGTTCACATAAAACTTTGAAATCAGTGATTATGTAATGATATTTTTCACATAAAACAGCAGTCTTCCCATTTATAAACGTGTGAACCGAAATGCATTACGTTAAACTATTTTAGTAAATTAGTTTTACAATTGAAATATGACATTTTTATGACTATTTTATGAAAATGTTTCACATCATATACCTCGTATTATTACAGCATGGACTGAATTAACACGTGTTTTTTGGAGAAAAGGAACACTGTTGAACTGCATTAGTTCTTGTTACTACTTTGCTGCTTATATTATTTTCTTTTGTTGCAGCTAAACTGGGTATGTGAAAATGATCGGCTTCCTTATTGGGTTCAGACGGTGTTCTATGTGGGGACAAGTGTTGGAAGTATTGTGTTTGGATTTATTTCTGACAGGCATGTATTATATCCAAAACATTCTTTTTTATTAAATTATAAATGCAACAACAAGTTGTTTTTTGTACAAATGAATTATGAATATAATTATTTTAGTTTGTTTTTATGTCCTTTTCATAAACATATTCAAACGTGTTCCTAGAAATGTTGTGTGGTCTTTTTATTTCCATTTTAAAGGTAATGTGCTGAAAATTTTTTACATATAAAATAAATCAATGAAACAGGTCATGAGATCATATTTTTATAGACTCTTGAATACTTAGCCCTAAACTGATGAATAAATGATTTAATTTGATCTGAAGTTGTCAAGCTAGATGTTGTTATTCCATACAAGTTGACGTAACAAGTGTTAAGTTACATGTGTGTGTGTGTGTAGCCTTGCATCTTTTAACATTACGCTCAACAAGTTTGTAAGTGAAACAACTATTAGAGTTAGTCCTTTCACTGATGGAAATATTGGATTTCAAAAAGACCTTGACAAACTGTGTGTCTTTTCTTACTTTTTCAATACTAAGACAAATGGGTACTTATTTCTTAAAGGAAACTGTTAAAGATTAGAAATAGTCAAAAGGTTTTTTGTATAAATGGACATCAAAAGCTTTATTATTTTCACCAACAAGTTTTCCTAAAGCATTTACTTATGTTGTTTAGTAAATGTTAGTTAGTTTGATAGGACACATGGTATTTAAACCAGAACTCATAAATGTAACTTTTATCATAAAGTGTAATGAATACCATGTGATGTAATATATATATATATATATAATCGTGTCACAAGATCGTGATCATTCTAACTTTTAGTAAATCATTACCTTTATTGCAGCCTGCTTACCAAAAATAAAAATAAAAAATCAGTTCTGGTATGTGCTTGAAAACTTATGCTACACTGAAGGCAAGTTAATTGCAGAGTAACTGGAAAACACTATGCTAAAACCAAAGCATTTCTTCTATAACTGAAGCATAGTGTCATGTTGAAACTGGAGGAAAACATCTGCCACTGATGGAAATCGACTTTTTGAGTGATTGCAAAAATTATTAAGAAGTTGAAATAATTTGACTTTTAAAATTTCTCAAACTTATGTTGCAACTAACACGGATTGCCTTCGTGAGGAATTGGAACTTGTGTTTTATTAGAAATATATTATTGTACTCTTTGATTGTGAAAAATGCTGCAGCTAAGACACATTATTTTGCAAAAAAAAACAAACTGAAACCTTTACGTCTGAATCAGATTGTCTTGCTACGAAGCTAGAAGCCATGCTGTGACTGAATCAGATCATCTTGCTACATAACTTAAAAACATACTGTGGCAATCAGACATTATCATGCTAAGTAACTGGAAAAGATGCTGTGGCTGAATCAGATCATCTTGCTACATAACTTAAAAACATACTGTGGCAATCAGACATTATCATGCTAAGTAACTGGAAAACATGCTGTGACTGAATCAGATCATCTTGCTACATAACTTAAAACATACTGTGGCAATCAGACATTATCATGCTAAGTAACTGGAAAAGATGCTGTGGCTGAATCACACTATCTTGCTACATAACTTAAAAACATAACTGTGGCAATCAGACATTATCATGCTAAGTAACTGGAAAAGATGCTGTGGCTGAATCAGATCATCTTGCTACATAACTTAAAAACATACTGTGGTAATCAGACATTATCATGCTAAGTAACTGGAAAACATGCTGTGGCTGAATCAGATCATCTTGCTACATAACTTAAAAACATAGCTGTGGCAATCAGACATTATCATGCTAAGTAACTGGAAAACATAGCTGTGGCTGAATCAGATCATCTTGCTACATAACTTAAAAACATACTGTGGC